GAAACATCATATAAGCACAACTTTCAATTTTACTTCTACCTTCTCCATTAATACTGCTTGTTTCAAAATGGTTAGCTAGCAAATGGTGATCACTGTGCTACATGATGCTAGGGTGGATACAATTGCAAGGATTGATTGTAAATCTCATTTTTTACACCATCCTAATGTCAAATGGTTGCTAAATGAGGAAGTCGGTATGCAAGGACTACCTGTAATGTATTTAGTCATGATGGGTCAGCTTTAAGTGCCTAAAATATATCTGTAATATAAGCGCGTGTTTTATTCCATACTGTGGTTTAGTTGTTATTTGCATTGCAACATAGAAAGAACTTGTTTTATCTAAGTGACTAGATAAAACTTATTGGTTGAAAGAAGAGTTGTTTAATCAGGAGCTACTGCCACTCTTGATCAGCTGTTAGGAGTTCACAGTAAGCAGCTGGTTGGTACAGTCCCCTATCATCACCAAAAAGCTGATCAGGGCAAGTGCTGACAAGTACTAAAATATGTAACATCCTTGGAAAATAACAGTCCTGAAATATCAGCCTGGTTACGCAAGATAGGAGAATGTGTAAAACCTCTAACACATAGGCTGTTTTCACAAAACGTGTTGAATCAGGAATCCTGGTTTACAGACTGCTTTGGTGAAGGACAAACTAAAGAAATGCCTAGTCTTGTCATCCTATAGGAATTAACAGGATAATAGAATAACAAAGCTGGAAGGGACCTTGGAAGTCTTCTGGTCCAGTGGTCTCCAACCTTGGCAACTTTAAGACCTTGGCTGCCCAATCTCTTCTTAAAAACCTCCAGTGCTAGTGGCCAGAACTTCCGGAGCCAAGTCGTTCCACTGGTTAATAGTAGTGAATGTATGTTATTAATTAAAATGCATTACATTAAATTATGTTAAACTGTAATTAATAATTAATAGGTTATAAGGTGCTCTTTGGTTTGAATTAGTATTTTAAATGAAGACAGCAATTATGAATTGTTAACCCTGGTTTATGTCTTAAAGTGTTGTACAATGTCAGCCTTATGCTGACATTTCAGATGTCCCTGGGGCTACACCCCTCTTCCATTATCAACAAAATGTAATCTGTGGTAAATTTTCAGCAAGGAATACACCCACACTTATATCAATGGAGTCATACACTTAATCTGATTCTGTACTACTGATAGCAGAGATCTTAACGCAAAAAAAGTACGTCAATGCATTCTGCATGTACTATGTGCTTTCTCCTTCTCTCTCTTCCTTGACTAGGTTGTTTTAGTATGATTGTAAGGAAGAAAAAACACTGTTGGTTATATTGATGCTAAATCATGATGCAGTTTCTTTGAGTTTAGCATTGCTTTTTGCACCAAATTCAGCCACTATGGTTTGTAGCCAATCGTGGCTTATTTAATAAGTTATAATTTAATATTGTGCAATTGCCATCCATATGCCCAGTCACCTTGTATGAAAAAAGAAAACTGTTTCTAATTTTATAGAGGAGTAGGAAGATACGATAATTGCAGTGTTCACTACTTGTAAAATATATCATCTAAGTGCTATTGCTATTATTCTTTTCCAGGATTAATATTGTGGAAAGAAAATTCCATCACATTTTGTGTCAGAATAGGCCAGTGGTCAATTTTTTTAACCTATTTCCTCACTTTTATTTGCTTAGGACTAATATGTGAGGAAGTTTTTAAAAAATCATTTGTACATGTATGAAAATACACTCTTTATTTCAGTAAATAGCATTGATATTCAGGATGTTTGTTAATCAATTAACCATTTTCTGAGTTTCTGAAATTGCACTGGGTATTATCTAGCACCATGATGGCGAACCTTGGCACACGTGCCAGAAGTGGCATGCACAGCCCTCTCAATGGGCACGTGCAGTGTCGCCAGCTGCTCTTCCGGTTCCATTGCAACCAGCTGGCCAGTGGGCATGCATGTGATGGAGCCCGGAAGAATACCTGGCCCCCACGTGCATGTGCACCGGCCCGCTGTTCTCTTCCAGGTTCTGGCGCTCCAGTGTGCGTGTGTGCCAGTTTCAGTACTTGGTACTGAAAAGGTTAACCATCACTGATCTAGCATCTTCATCACCGCTAGAAATTGGGTTTTTTTTAAAAAGAGGAATGCTGTGATCAGTACCAGGCTGCATGCATTGTTTTCTGTAGAAATATTTACAAAGAATCCTCAGCAAATCAGGTTAAGTGGAAGAATCCTGGCAGAACAATTACCTGTCCACAGGTTGCAAGACCTGAATGGTTTACTGTGCATTTATGAATTTGAAAGAGAAAATGCACATAGTAAACGAATTTTAAATGCTGAATATTGAAGGAACTGGTTGTTTGGCAAAAACCTGACTTTGTTTATTTTAGGATCACTGTAAGCCCAAGAGATATACTTGTTGCTTGGACTTTGTATACGCTCATTATCTATTGTAGTGGAGTGTCTGTGAAGGGCTATTTTCCTTTTGCAAATATTGTTTGGGCCGGAGCCAGGATTGGGTGAGATTGCTGATAGCAGGAAGGTAAAACTCTGGATAAGAAGGATTTGGGTTTCCTTTCATTGCTGACCTGCTTTTAACAGCCTGCCTGCTCATTTTGTAACCAAGTATTCCCCACACAGTCCTATCCCACTCAGGTCACCTGGCAGCCCCTAATTCTATTTCTTGAAGAATGCCAATGTTTTGGTTCAGTATTTCTTAACATGAATGATCAGGATTGATCTCTGGTTTTCAAACACACCCTCTGTAATTCAATACAGGCAATATTTGATTTACAATTGAGCCCAAACATTTCTGTTCTTAAGTGAGACACTTGTTAAGTGGGTTTTGCCCCATTTTATGACCTTTCTTGCAGCAGTTGTTAAGTGAATCGTGGCAGGTGTTAAATTAGTAGCTCAGTTGTTAAATGAATCTGGTTTCCCCACTGACTATGCTTATCAGAAGGTTGCAAAAGATGAGAGCAATAGCACTTAGACTTATATACCGTTTCACAGTGCTTTATTACAGCCCTCTCTAAGCGGTTTACAGAGTCAGCCTATTGCCTCCAACAATCTGGGTCCTCATTTTACCCATCTCAGAAGAATGGAAGGCTGAGTCAACCTTGAGCTGATGAGATTTGAACTGCCAAATTGCAGGCAGCTGGCAGGCAGCAGAAGTAGCCTGCAGTACTGCACTCTAACCACTGTGCCACCATGGCTCATGATCATATGTGCCCAGGATAATGNTTTGCCCCCAGTGAACTTCTGGTAGAGGCCGAGCTTGTTTTGGAGGTTGGCGAAGAAAACGTTGTCCAGTTTCTCGGAAATCTCTGCCATCCCACAGATGGCGCACAGATCGGCCTTTTCATTTTCTTTCAGGCACTTCGAACAGAGATTGTGAAGGCAGGGCAGGAGTTTGGGGCAGGCCACCTCTGCGTGGCATCTGTCACATAGGAGGAACTGGAACTCCTGGTTCATCGCCTGTGAAAGGGGGAGATCTCAGTTAATCCGGTTCTATGAACACAACTGGGAACTAATGAAATATGAGCAGGACGTCGGATGCTGCTAGCCGGGACATGTGGAATGTTGGGTGTGGCGGAGGACTTAGAAGGAGGAAGAAGTCAACCGCAAACGAAAAGCAAACAAGGGGACCTAACAATGCCACAGGGAGTTAGTTTCCTTGTTTGGTTTCCTTCCTACGCTGTTGATTCTCTGTTGGGCAGAAAAATCTAAACCAGGGATAGCAAACCTTTTCCTTACTGTGTGCCAAAATTGCGCCTCCACGCTGCCCACTCTATTTCCCCTCCCTCCACCCCACCCCATGTGCATGCACACGAGACCCTCCCCAGGCTCCCGAATCTTTCCTGAAGACTGGGGAGGGAGGAAAACGGCCTCCCCTAGCAGGCACGAAGGCCTTCCCCTTCCGGAAGCCAGAAATGGATTGTTCCAGAACTTCTGTTTGGCCCTTTGGGGGCCATTTTTTGCCCTCTCCAGGCTTCAGGAGAGACTCCGGAGCCTGGGGAGGGTAAAGAACAGCTCCAACAGGCTCATTGGGGCCATTTTTTTGCCCTCCCCAGCCTCAGGAGTATTTCCTGAAGCCTGGGGAGGGTGAATACATCTTACATCTATCTATGTACATATATTATAACTATTATTCTGTGCTATTCTATATATAACATATAAATAAACTTAAATACAAATAAATACACATACAAATAACACATCTTACATTCCCTCCCCCTTATTAATTATGTGCTTTTATGATTGTTTTCTAATGTCTTAATCTTTGCAAGCCCTTNAAACTCCATCTTCTCACTGCTAAGCCCCGCCTTCTTCTTCAACACCCATCTTGATTAACAACATAAATCCTGATCTCCATCGTGGTTGTAAGTCAAGAACTATCTGCATGTACAATATCAAACCTTGTGGTGTCTTTGGACCCATGATGTGCTATCAAAGTCTTCCTGCCTTGTTTTATGGGAGAGCTTCTTTTGTAGAAATGGGAAAACTCTGGATTTTGGTTCCTGTTTGGTTTGCAAGTGCGCAGGGGTGGGCTTCAAAAATTTCAGCAACGGGTTCTCCGACCGGTTGCTGGGTGGGCGTGGCCATGGTGGGCGTGGCCTTGTCAGCCTTCTGCACCATGGGGTCGGGGGGAAGGCATTTTTCCCTTCCCCAGGCTCCAGAGGCTTTCCTCGAGCCTCTGGGAGGGTGAAAACTGCTTCCCACAGGCTCTGGAGGCCCTCCGGAGGCTGGAAACGGGCCTGTGGCTGGCCTTCTGGAGCCTCCGCACGGGCCCTGCGCTTACCTCACATCCAAAATGGGCCATGTGTAGACTCCTGGGAGGGTGTGGGAGCGGGAGGCAGGGTGGGCGGGGCCAGCCAAAGGTGGGATTTGGAGGTTCTCCAAACCGGCCATAACCTTAGCTATGGGTTCTCACAAACTCTGAAATGGGGTAGGAATTCTTTTGACCCATAAAGCTGGCCTGTTGGGCTTCGCACACGGTCTAAAAGTCCAAAAACTTTATTTGCAGGAGAAATTTCTCAACCAGGAAGCCCCATCAACACGACATCATTTGGAAGATTGGTGGATCATTTACAAGCCACGGAGTCCCCGAACTCTGATCTTCGTTACCTCAGAGAGGAATGCCAAGAGGAGAAGCAGATCGTGCAGGGGAGCTTTGATGAACCTGTTCCCTTAAGAAGAAGCACCCAGGCTGCGGAAGGCCCTCCGCCTGAGGTGGGAGAAAGAAAGGATTCTTGCCCCAAATGTGGGAAAACTTTCTGTCACAAATCGGCACTCACTGCTCATCTGAGAATCCACACTGGAGAAAAGCCGTACCACTGCCAGGAGTGCGGGAAAAGCTTTAACCAGAGCTCGGCCCTCACTCAACACCAGAGGATCCACACCGGAGAGAAGCCCTACGCTTGCCTCAGTTGCGGCAAAAGATTCAGCCAAAGCTCTGCTCTGACCCAGCATCAGAGGATTCACACCGGGGAGCGGGCATACACCTGCCTGGACTGCAGGAAGAGCTTCATCTACCAATCAGCTCTGATTCGGCATAGGCGAATCCACACGGGAGAGAAATGCTACACGTGTCCTGATTGTGGGAAAGGTTTCAACCAAAGCTCCAACCTTATTACGCACCGGAAAATTCATAAAGGCATGGAAGGTTGGTGAACAGCCTCCCTGAGAGCGTCGTCCTTCTTCTGAATGCAACTTCTGAAGGCTGGCCGTTCCCCTGGTTGATTGTTCCAGTTTAGGGGTGGTATTCATTTACTTTCCCTACCGGTTCGCAAATGTGAGCGTGCATGGTCACACCCATGCATGCTCTCAGCCTTCTGTGCATACGCTTTGATCACGAGGGTGGCTTGCACACATGTGCGCGGCTTGAAAACCTGCCTAAATAAGATGGCATAGAGCCGAGGTGGGTGGGCAGACCCACCCATGAGTTCCACTACCAATTCAGGCGAACCGGTCCGAACCGGCTAAATACGACCACTGTTCTAGTTGTAGAACATCTTGCCTTCAGCAGTTGTGGGTTCAGTGGAGATCAGGGCTGGGTTTCAACCGGTTCGCACCGGTCCCTGCGATCCGGTTGGTCGCCGAACCCGGAAGTAAGTAACTTCCGGGAACGGCGAAGCACCCCCCCCCTCGCTCGCGCGCGCCCGCACACCCGCACCCGCTCCTTACCCGGTTTTTTTGAATTTCGCGCTTTCCACGCAT